TCGACTACGTCGTGTAGAGGACACTGTTTTTGCAGAACGGGTCCGATCCAGTTTCCTTTCCTCCTTTCAGGATTGTGCTCAGTAGAGTCCTTTTATCATCCACTCCTCTCAGGACTTTTTCATTTGTTATCTTGTCTGTCCACTTTATTTTCTCCATTCATCTCCAGCGCCACATTTCTAAACTCTTTCTCTTTCTTTCATGTCTCTGGATCCGTACATAGATATACTTTAGACATGACACTTTAATTTTGTTCGACATTGAAGCATAATCTTGGATATCAAAATACCAGGAATGAAATTTAGCAAACCAGTTTTGGCACTACCGTACTATCAGCACGTCATTTCCATGCAAAACGGTCAAGTAAATTATGACTTAAGCAGTATTTTTATCTTTGCTATAGCAAAAGAGTAAAGTATGTAGAAAATGCTGCTTAATTCTTTCCGTGTTTACAGTGGCAGTTGATTAGAATTTTTTACACACAAATGTTAAAATATAAGCTTTCAAATCCTATAATAATTATAGGGTTTGAGTGTGTGTAGGTTCCAAAAAATATAGTTAAATCCTCTGTAGTAAAAAAACAAAGTGACTTTCCAACAACCTTATAGTTTGGAAATCTATATATTACATTTATTTCTATTTCCAGGTGAAACATCATTTATTAAAGGTTTTAAAATTTGGCGAACCAAAAAAAATATCCATTGGTGATTTTGTGTTCACAGTGACTGCGATAGATCCTGATACATTAACAGGCAAAATTATTTACCACTTTTCTTGTAAGTAATTTAGGGACCGATTCTGCCGTATAACAGAACAATGCTATGGCAAGATTATGATATGGAGAAATTTCCATACTAAATATTGACAAAAGCCATGTGGTTGCTGTGCAGTCAGGCGTATTTCTCAGGTTGTCAGATAGAAAACATAACCTAGAAACCGCACAAATGTCAAAAAACGATCTTAAATAACAGGGTCTTTTTGATCCAGCTTCATAACATACGAGTGACGTTGCAGTTTGTGTAAAACGCCTCAATGCACACCAAATACATGACATTTTGACAATATTCAGTATGATTCAGTAGCATAATGTATGGAAGTTGGAACGTAACATGGCCTTGCCATAACATTTTTTGTTGCGCGGCAGAATCGGTCCCTTAATGTTGTTGTTTTAAATTTTATGTCTTAGCTTAATCTTAATTGAAATAATTCTTTTCAGTTGATGGTACTGACTGCTTGTACATGGATGGTGCATTGATGTCTCCAAGTGTTTTAACAAATCCATATATAGTGCATCTGGGAAATACCAAAATCATCGACACACTTTATGTTGATAGTCTTCTTTTAGACCTGCCTGTTGATATCAATATTGATCAGGCTGATGAACAGATAATCAATCTGTTAAGGTGAGATAAAAGATAGATAAAACTAGTGGGGCGCATGGCATCGTGCCTTAAGGCAAATTGCTAAAACTTCCCGTACCAAAAATTATTTTTTTAAAAACGATTAACATTTTTGAAAAAATTAGATTTTTCGAAAAAATTAGATTTTTGAGAAACTATAAATTTGACAAAAAATTACTTTTTTTGAAAAAAAAATGTTTTCTTTATTTGACATATTTTGGAAATTCTGAACTTTTTTTAAAGCAATCGTACTGCTTGAACTGCATAGAGACGAAATGTCAAAGCGCGTAAGAGCCGCGCCGCCGTCTAACGGATTATCATTGGTACGGAACCCATAGAAATGTAAAAAAATACTTATTCTTAAAATCTCTATAAAATATCTGATAATTTGATGTGCATATGTCTAATGTTCATTTTTGACTGCCAAATGGCATTTTTTTTACTTTTTCACTAGATCTCCGAAACCGCTAGGCCCCTTCATGAAAATTTGATCAATTCTTCATCTTGTTAATACAAGTAATTCAAAAGTTTTTTGAATTATTAAAATCGGACGCTGCGTTCTCTTAAAAATTGAGTTAGCATTTTTAGCACTTTTTGCCCCGTATCTTCGGAACGCCTAGACTGGCCTTCGCTAAAAACTAATCAGCACGTCACCTTATCAATAAGAATCGAATGTTTTTTGAATTATTCAATCGGTTGATCGGTGTTCCCGAAATCGTCGACGAAAATTTGTATCCGCACACACACACACACGCACACACACAAACATACCACACACCTACACACACACAACACCATACCCACACACCATACATCCATTTTTTCTAAGGTATGCCAAAATGTTTGAAACAAATTTATATAAGGATTTTCATTTTTTTTTTTTTGCGATTACTATAACTTGCCCTACGGGAAGTTAACAATTGTACCACAAATGCCTTATGAAACTAGGTGTAGGTGGCGTTTTGCCTTAAGTTATTTTGAAAGATTGTGAAATAACGCAAAGATTTTTTTACTATATTTTTATTGTAAAATAGGTGGCGTTTGCCTTAAGTTTTTTGAAATATTGTAAATAACGCAAAGAATTTTTTACTATATTTTTAACTTCCCGAAGGAAAAGTTTGTTTTCATTTAAAAATCCGATATCCTAATTTTATGTTTTCTCGACGTTTCAAGCCGTTCTATATCGAATGAGACTAAATTTCGAAAAAGTACGTGAGCGTGTGTAAACATATTTTTGATCTTTCGCCGACGTTTTCTCAAGAACGGCTGGACTGATTACAAAAATTTAAAAGCCGTTCGATGTATCTCGATGAGGAATATTGTTTGTCAGTTTTGCGCGACGATCGGCCGAGCGGTTTCTTTGTGAATAGCAGAAAAGTGAAAAAAAAATCGTCCACGTTTTAGCCCACAATTCTAAATCAATTTTAAAAATTCAAAATGCTTTGATTAGTTATTAGCGAAGATCGGTCGTAATTAAATGTTGAAAAATAGTTTAGTAACGATTTTGATGAAACTATATATTTGAGAATAAACATTAAAATATTATAGGCCTACGATAAGTGGTTGAATTATGAAAAATCAAGATTTACAACTTCGTTGCATTTTGGCCTAGATTCGAATCAGAATCTATGTGTAGGTTTAGTGTTTGGTAGGTAGCTACTGATTATACGAAATATGCGTATTAACTTCCCATAGGGTAAGTTATTGTAATCGTCCAAAAATTGAAATTAAAAATTTAACTTAACATTTGGCATACCTCAGAAAACATGGATGTGTGTGTGTGTCTATGTATGTATGGATACAATTTTTCGTCCACGTATTCGGGCGCATGGATCAACCGATTTGAATGGTTCAAAAAACATTCGATTCCTATTGATAAGGAGATGTGCTGATTAGTTTTTGGCAAAGGCAGGTCCAGCCATTTCGGAGATACGGAGCAAAGAATGCAGAAAATAGAAATCGATTTTTTGAGAGATCGAAGCATCGGATTTGAATGATCCAAAAGACATTAAATTCGTAATGACAGAGAGAAGTGGTGATTAGTTTTTGGCAAAGGCAGAACCAACGGTTTCGGAGATACAGAGCTAAATGTGCAAAAAATTGCAGTTTTTGAGAGAACTAAGCGTCCGATTTGAATGATTCAAAGAACTTTCTGCTTGTTTTAACAAAATAATTGATTTTGGAAAAAAAAATGTATATAGAAAATAATTCAGATTTTATTTTTAATTCTGACTAAAGTTGTAATATACTTTTAACAAATAATTTCAACTTGGCAATTTAGTTTATATAATTTTTATAAATATTAGACAATGTTACAATATTTATTTATAGTAACCCTGTAAACAATTTTATATTGCCGTTAGGTTGCGGTTATATAAAAATGTTACCTAGTTATATAATGTCAACCTCACCGTCCCTAAGGAATTTTATTACCTGGAGATAACTATTTCCTACCCTGTTAGTTAACTTGTTATATAACATTGTTAGGTTGAGGTAACATACGGTAATGTACCTATGCGATATGAATCAGCACTTTTTGAAATGCTTTTAATTTATGCGTAAATAATAGATTTTTCTCTAAAAAAAAAGATTTACTCATATTTCATTGTATTTATTATTTAAAATTAATATTTTACAATAAACAAAGTAGCAACAAATATTTTATACTAAACAGAACAGTAACAAGTATTTTATAATAAATAAATAGCAACAAATATTTTGTACTAAACAAAATAGTAACAAATATTTTATAACAAACAAATAGCAACAAATATTTTGTACTAAACACAACAGTAACAAATATTTTATAACAAATAGCAACGAATATTTTGTACTAAACACAACAATAACAAATATTTTATAACAAACAAATAGCAACAAATATTTTGTACTAAACACAACAATAACAAATATTTTATAACAAACAAATAGCAACAAATATTTTGTACTAAACAAAACAGTAACAAATATTTTATAACAAATAGCAACGAATATTTTGTACTAAACAAAACAGTAACAAATATTTTATAACCAACAAATAGCAACAAATATTTTGTACTAAACACAACAGTAACAAATATTTTATAACAAACAAATAGCAACAAATATTTTGTACTAAACAAAACAGTAACAAATATTTTATAACAAATAGCAACGAATATTTTGTACTAAACAAAACAGTAACAAATATTTTATAACAAATAGCAACGAATATTTTGTACTAAACAAAACAGTAACAAATATTTTATAACAAACAAATAGCAACAAATATTTTGTACTAAACAAAACAGTAACAAATATTTTATAACAAACAAATAGCAACAAATATTTTGTACTAAACACAACAGTAACAAATATTTTATAACAAATAGCAACGAATATTTTGTACTAAACACAACAATAACAAATATTTTATAACAAACAAATAGCAACAAATATTTTGTACTAAACACAACAATAACAAATATTTTATAACAAACAAATAGCAACAAATATTTTGTACTAAACAAAACAGTAACAAATATTTTATAACAAATAGCAACGAATATTTTGTACTAAACAAAACAGTAACAAATATTTTATAACCAACAAATAGCAACAAATATTTTGTACTAAACACAACAGTAACAATATTTTATAACAAACAAAAGCAACAAATATTTTGTACTAAACAAAACAGTAACAAATATTTTATAACAAAGCAACGAATATTTTGTACTAAACAAAACAGTAACAAATATTTTATAACAAATAGCAACGAATATTTGTACTAAACAAAACAGTAACAAATATTTTATAACAAACAAATAGCAACAAATATTTTGTACTAAACAAAACAGTAACAAATATTTTATAACAAACAAATAGCAACAAATATTTTGTACTAAACAAAACAGTAACAAATATTTTATAACAAATAGCAACGAATATTTTGTACTAAACAAAACAGTAACAAATATTTTATAACAAACAAATAGCAACAAATATTTTGTACTAAACAAACAGTAACAAATATTTTATAACAAATAGCAACGAATATTTTGTACTAAACAAAACAGTAACAAATATTTTATAAAACAATAGCAACAAATTTTGTACTAAACAAAACAGTAACAAATATTTTATAACAAACAAATAGCAACAAATTTTTGTACTAAACAACACAGTAACAAAATATTTTATAACAAATAGCAACGAATATTTGTACTAACACAACACATAACAAATATTTTATAACAAACAAATAGCAACAATATTTTGTACTAAACACAACAATAACAAATATTTATAACAAACAAATAGCAACAAATATTTTGTACTAAACAAAACAGTAACAAATATTTTATAACAAATAGCAACAAATATTTTGTACTAAACAAAACAGTAACAAATATTTTATAACCACAAATAGCAACAAATATTTTGTACTAAACACAACAGTAACAAATATTTTATAACAAACAAGCAACAAATATTTTGTACTAAACAAAAGTAACAATATTTTTATAACAAATAGCAACGAATATTTTGTACTAAACAAACAGTAACAAATATTTTATAACAAATAGCAACGAATATTTTGTACTAAACAAAACAGTAACAAATATTTTATAACAAATAGCAACAAATATTTTGTACTAAACAAAACAGTAACAAATATTTTATAACAAACAATAGCAACAAATATTTTGTACTAAACAAAACAGTAACAAATATTTTATAACAAATAGCAACGAATATTTTGTACTAAACAAAACAGTAACAAATATTTTATAACAACAAATAGCAACAAATATTTTGTACTAAACACAACAGAACAAATTTTTATAACAAACAAATAGCAACAATATTTTGTACTAAACAAAAGTAACAAATATTTATAACAAATAGCAACGAATATTTTGTACTAAACAAAACAGTAACAAATATTTTATAACCAACAAATAGCAACAATATTTTGTACTAAACACAAACAGTAACAAATATTTTATACAAACAATAGCAACAATATTTTGTACTAAACAAAACAGTAACAAATATTTTATAACAAACAAATAGCAACAAATATTGTTACTAACACAACAGTAACAAATATTTTATAACAAACAAATAGCAACAAATATTTTGTACTAAACAAAACAGTAACAAATATTTTATAACAAATAGCAACGAATATTTTGTACTAAACAAAACAGTAACAAATATTTTATAACCAACAATAGCAACAAATATTTTGTACTAAACACAAACAGTAACAAATATTTTATAACAAACAAATAGCAACAATATTTGTACTAAACAAACAGTAACAATATTTTTATAACAAATAGCAACGAATATTTTGTACTACAAAACAGTAACAAATATTTTATAACAATAGCAGCACGAAATATTTGTACTAAACAAAACAGTAACAATATTTTATAACAAACAAATAGCAAAAATATTTTGTACTAAACAACAGTAACAAATATTTTATAACAAACAAATAGCAACAAATATTTTGTACTAAACAAAACAGTAACAAATTTTTATAACAAATAGCAACGAATATTTTGTACTAAACACAACAATAACAAATATTTTATAACAAACAAATAGCAACAAATATTTTGTACTAAACAACACAATAACAAATATTTTATAACAACAAATAGCACAATATTTTGTACTAAACAAAACAGTAACAAATATTTTATAACAAATAGCAACGAATATTTTGTACTAAACAAAACAGTAACAAATATTTTATAACCAACAAATAGCAACAAATATTTTGTACTAAACACAACAGTAACAAATATTTTATAACAAACAAATAGCAACAATATTTTGTACTAAACAAAACAGTAACAAATATTTTATAACAAATAGCAACGAAATATTGTACTAAACAAAACAGTAACAAATATTTTATAACAAATAGCAACGAATATTTTGTACTAAACAAAACAGTAACAAATATTTTATAACAAACAAATAGCAACAAATATTTTGTACTAAACAAAAACAGTACAATATTTTATAACAAACAAATAGCAACAATATTTTGTACTAAACACAACAGTAACAAATATTTTATAACAAATAGCAACGAATATTTTGTACTAAACACAACAATAACAAATATTTTATAACAAACAAATAGCAACAAATATTTTGTACTAAACACAACAATAACAAATATTTTATAACAAACAAATAGCAACAAATATTTTGTACTAAACAAAACAGTAACAAATATTTTATAACAAATAGCAACGAATATTTTGTACTAAACAAAACAGTAACAAATATTTTATAACCAACAAATAGCAACAAATATTTTTTTCTAAACACAACAGTAACAAATATTTTATAACAAACAAATAGCAACAAATATTTTGTACTAAACAAAACAGTAACAAATATTTTATAACAAATAGCAACAAATATTTTGTACTAAACAAAACAGTAACAAATATTTTATAACAAATAGCAACGAATATTTTGTACTAAACAAAACAGTAACAAATATTTTATAACAAACAAATAGCAACAAATATTTTGTACTAAACAAAACAGTAACAAATATTTTATAACAAACAAATAGCAACAAATATTTTGTACTAAACAACAGTAACAAATATTTTTAACACATAGCAACGAATATTTTGTACTAAACAAACAATAACAAATATTTTATAACAAACAAATAGCAACAAATATTTTGTACTAAACACAACAATAACAAATATTTATAACAAATAGCAACGAATATTTTGTACTAAACAAAACAGTAACAAATATTTTATAACAAATAGCAACGAATATTTTGTACTAAACAAAACAGTAACAAATATTTTATAACCAACAAATAGCAACAAATATTTTGTACTAAACACAACAGTAACAAATATTTTATAACAAACAAATAGCAACAAATATTTTGTACTAAACAAAACAGTAACAAATATTTTATAACAAATAGCAACGAATATTTTGTACTAAACAAAACAGTAACAAATATTTTATAACAAACAAATAGCAACAAATATTTTCTACTAAACAAAACAAATATTTGTTGCTATTGTTTGTTATAAAATACTTGTTACTGTTCTGTTTAGTATAAAATATTTGTTGCTACTTTGTTTGTTATAAAATACTTATTACTGTTTTGTTTAGTTCAAAATATTTGTTGCTAATTGCTTATTATAAAATATTATAAGTATTTTATAACAAACAAATAGTAGCAAATATTTTGTACTAAACAAAACGGTAACAAATATTTTATAACAAATAGCAACGAATATTTCATATTAAACAAGACAGTAACAAATATTTTATAACAAACAAATAGTAACAAATATTTTGTACTAAACACAACAGTAACAAATATTTTGTACTAAACACAACAGTGACTTATTTTATAATAAATATAGCAACAAATATTTTAAACAAAAATATTTTTATATGCATTTTGGTGTTGAAGAAGGAATTCTCAACTCCATGGAAAAACATTTTTTCGAATGCCCTGAGAAAATTTACTTACAACTAAATTGTGATGAAATGGCAATATCTAAAAGTTCAAATAGCAGTTTTTGGCCTATATTATTGATGTTAGATATAAATGAAAAAGTGGAACCTTTCATTGTAGGCATTCATCATGGTAATAGCAAGCCAGCCGATGCCAATATTTACTTAAGTCAATTCGTAAGTGATATGAAGACGATTTTGAAAAATGGCATTATTTTTAAGGAGAAGAAATGTGATGTTTTAATATCGAAAATTGTGTGTGATAGCCCAGCTCGAGCATTCATAACCTACGTGAAAGGGCATGCTGGGTATTTTAGTTGTCCAAAATGCATTCAAGAAGGCGATTTTGAAAAACACGTAATTTTAACAGAAACTGATGCTATATTGAGAACAGATGAATCATTTAGATCAAAAGAACAACCAGAGCACCATACTGGTCTATCTATTTTAGAGGATTTGGGGATCGGTATGGTTTCCCAAATTGCATTGGACTATATGCACATGGTGTGTTTGGGGGTGACAAAGCGCCTGATTTCTCTCTGGATGTGCGGATCTAGAGATATTCGCTTTACGGACGAGCAGAAAAGGAATATGAACAATTATATAATAGAGCATAGAAAGTTTTTTCCTTCGGAATTTTCCAGATTGCCTAGAAGGCTAGAGGATCATAAACATTGGAAGGCCACTGAATACAGACAATTTTTGTTGTATTCTGGATTAGTAATTTTAAAACCTGTGTTAAATAACCAATTGTTTTTAAATTTTTTACATTTCAGTTTAGGCACTAGAATACTATGTGATCTAGAGGCATGTCTCAACTGGACTAGTTTGGCAGGGGACTTATTAAAACTTTTTGTAATTAATTATTCTGATTTATATGGTTCAGATAGATTAACATTTAATATTCATAATATAATCCATCTAGCTGATGAAGTTAAGAATTTTGGTTGTTCATTAGACAAATTTAGTTGCTTTCCATTTGAAAATTATTTCAGAAGTGTGAAAAATAAGATTCAAGATTCCCCGAAGCCCTTGCAACAATTAGTGAACAGAATGTGGGAAGAAAAAACTATTAAAAGCCAAAGTAAATTTATTAAAATTAAAAGTTTTCCAGTAATACACCGGACAAAAACATCACAAATAGAGAAAATTGAATTTAAGAATTTTTCTTTAAGTAATATAGCTCCGAATAACTGTTGTTTAACAACTGAGAATAAAATTGTTTTAATAAATAACATTTGTGATGTTAATAAAATATTGTGTTCGGAAGCGACAATGACAAAATCATTATTTTCAAAACCATTTGACTCGAAACTATTTAATATTCATGTTTTTGACCTAAAAATTATGAGAGAAGTGACAATATCTGTGAAGGAAATAAAACAAAAATGTGTAGCACTGCCTTATACAACTAAATCTAATTATGTGGCTATTCCTTTTCTGTAATTTGTATTTGTATTTAACCAGTAATTTGTATTTTTGTAACTATAGTTCTTTATGTAATATAATTGTAAATAAATAAATGTTAATGAAAGTAAATATATACAATTTTTATAGACTTTTTGATATTTTGATTAACAAAAATTTGTTAATGTTTTAAAATAAATGTTTTACAGGTTTAAAAAAGTATTAAATCTTTCAAACTTTTTCAAAAATTCTCAAATCACCTGTAGGTTTCAAATTGTTAAAACTGTCAAAACTATTCAAACTAGTTGAGAGTGGCATTTTGCCTTAATAGAAGTTGCATAATCTTCCCGGCATGTATAAATAATCAACTTTAGTAAATTTTTAAATTTTTCTCGAAGTTTAAAATTTTTTGGAATTAAAAAAAAAAACGTGTTTTTTAACTTCCCGTAGGGCAAGTTATAGTAATCGCAAAAAAATCGAAAATGAAAATTTTTGCATTTCTCGGCGTTTCAAAGGTTTCTGAATATTTTGGCATACCTTAGAAAAAATGGATGTATGTGTGTGTGTGTGTGTGTATGTGTGTATGTGTGTGTGTGTGCGTGTGTGTATGTATGTGCGGATACAAATTTTCGTCGACGATTTCGGGAACACCGATCAACCGATTTGAATAATTCAAAGAACATTCGATTCGTATTGATAAGGAGACGTGCTGATTAGTTTTTGGCAAAGGCAGGTCTAGCCGTTCCGAAGATACGGGGCAAAAAGTGCCGAAAACGGTAACACAGTTTTTAAGAGAACGGAGCGTCCGATTTTAATAATTCAAAAAACATTTTACTTGTATTGACAAGATGAAGAATTGATAAAATTTTCATGAAGGCAGGTCTAGCGGTTTCGGAGATTTAGTAAAAAAAAGTAAAAAAAAAAATGCCATTTGGCGGTCAAAAATAATCATTAGACATATGCACATCAAATTATTAGATATTTTATAGAGATTTTAACAATAAGTATAAATTTGGTTTACATTCCTATGGGTTCCGTACCAATGTTTACGCGTTAGACGGCGACGCGGCGCTTACGCGCTTTGATATTTCATCTTTATACAGTTAAAGCAGTACGATTGCTTTGAAAAAAAGTTTAGATCTTCCAAAATATGCCAAAATAAAGAAAACATTTTTTTTCAAAAAAAAAATTTAAAAAAAATTGTTTTTCAAAAAAAAGTAATTTTTTGTCCAATTTATAGTTTCTCAAAAATCTTATTTTTTCGAAGTAAAATTTTTTCAAAAATGTTAATCGTTTTTAAAAAAAATGATAATTTTTGGTACGGGAAGTTCCAGCAATTTGCCTTAAGGCACGATGCCTTAATTGCCTTAAGACAGAATTCCATTTACAGCTAGTTTTAGTAAATTCTCAATATTTTGAGAATTTGGAAATTTTTGGTTATATTCGATTTTTTTTAATTTTTGAAAAATCTTTAACTTTTGTAGTTTTTTTTTTTTTTAATTTTTCAAAATTTAGTTTTTTTTTTAATGATTTTTATGATAGTTTTTTTTTTAAGTTGTCGAAAATATTTTCTAACAAAACATTGCACATTTATTACATTTGGTAACAAATGTATATAACTTTGTAACTCCCGATATACATTGCGCTTACATTACACTTAGTTAACATTTGTTATATAACTTTGTAATTTCAAAATACATTGCGCGTACATTACATTTAGTTAACATTTGTTATATAACTTTGTAACTTCAAAATACATTGCGCGTACATTGCATTTAGTTAACACTTGTTATATAACTTTGTAACATAAAAAGTTATATTGCGGCAACAAGTAGTGTTTACTGGGAATCTATTTGAAAACATTCAATATTCCTCGAACATTTCGTTACAGTACGGGAAGTTCCAGCAATTTGCCTTAAGGCACGATACACCCCACTAGTTCAATTTTTTATTATTTAAGATATCCAAAATTGCATCTTAAACTTCTCTTAATCGATATCGTGAGGGCCGAATTGTATGTATTAATCTTTACTTTCCCATTTGTTGTTATAAAGTGAAATTTTTACGAATTTTATGAATATTGTGGAAAGATTAGTAAAAGATGCAAAGAATTTATATATTAAAAAAAAAAACTATATAGAAAATTTTATGTCCGAATATTGTGTTGGCGCCCCCTGAAGCGTGCGCTCGTATTTTTCGCATGCGTCGCGTTCAAGGTAGTACCGGCCCTGGTTATTACTTATTGTCACATTTTAAGTGAATTAATTTATCAAAACCTGGTCAAATGTGTATCATTCAATCTGCCATAATATACTGTATTTTATATTGTTTAATTTTCTGGCGCATCTCAGCTGCTTTTTGGCAAAATAATGTAGACATTTCATTTTTTTTATTCATAATCATAAAATTTATTATACATATTCTAATATTGTCTAGGTTCATAAGTAAATTGAAATTTTTGGCAGATGATAGTTTCATTTGTTTTCAATGCAAACAATGATATGTCGTTTTTTA